TATAATGTGCTTTACTATTTTTTCAGTTATTTGTAAAACAGTACATTTTTAAAATTCATGGATAACAATGATAATTATATTTTAGCAATAAAAACACCATTTGGGTTAAAGAGCTTCTACATACTGGTAACTAACCATTACAGAAACATAAATGATTTTGGTAATCAGCAATGCTATTAATTTAAGGAAGCTGTGGCATGTAACTCACATCGGGTGGGGGTTTAACAAATGTGTTAAGCACTGTGTATATATATTTAAAAATAATAAACTTCTCTTCAGTAACACCTCAGAGTTGGTGTCTCTTATTGTCTCTCCTGTAAAGTGTCCTCGGATGGAAGCAGTGTGAGCAGCTGCTGCAGTGTTTGTGGAGCTCAATGAGCGACAGTAAAGGTAGCTTCTGGTTACAAACTTTGGACCAATCAGGACGCCGCTTTGCCTTCCTGCAGCAGGACACACAGAAGTTCAACCTGGACCGCTTCTCGAAGAAACTATCTGCTCCAAATTCCCCACTGACCATGCCTGTCCACCTCCGCTGACATATCCGATAGAAAAGTCACTGCGGGAAACGTTTCCGAGTGATGACAATGTTGGGTATGTACGTGCCAGACAGATTTTCCCTGAAATCGTCCAAGGTCCAGGATGGAATCGGTCTTTACACGGCGAGGCGAGTGAAAAAGGTTTGTTGTTTCTCACTGCGGCCGACTTTGTAACCGAGTTTACACGCTGGAAACGCTTTTGTGTGACTTTTAGAAGGAGATTGTCGGCGGTGTAGCCTCGTTTTACTTACACATTCCTTACTGTTGCTGTCAGAGCAGGCTCGCTGAACCGAGGCTGCTCTGACGTGAAGTGCCACGTAGCTACAGTAACTCAGGCTCCACTTCTCAGGCTCAGCTCGTAGGTCTGCATTCACATTTCATCCACATTTGAACTCTCCGTTTTGCAAAACTGAACCCATTTCCTCCCCCGAACATAGTTTGTAGCCAGATGTGTAGAGGAGGCGTGGAGCTGTGAAATGGTGCTGGTGCGTTTGTGTGTCAGCAGGGATGTATTGTCTTGGAAATGTGCTTGAGGATGAACATGAATGCAACATGAGGAACACAGTGTGACCACGCCCCCTGATCTGGAGGTCACAGATGTACAGGACTGGTTCACATGTCACATCCAACAGGAGGCCTGTAAGGCAAACCTGTCCAACCTGAAGTAACCAGACGGTAACAAAAAAAAAAAAAAGATATTTTAGTCAGAAATAACAAGTCAGATCTCCACATGGATGTTCCTGCAGGACAAATGATGGTTTCTCTGTACTATATCTACAGTATATTTGTAATTCAAATCAATCAATCAAGTGCAATGCCATTCAGCGTAGGCGATCATTTGTCTCCAGCTTTTTGAATTGTGACTGTTGCCTGTTCCGTGTGTAGCCATGATGTCAGTCCGTCTATCATTTTCATTCTTTGTCTGCCTCATCCTCTCTTCCCGTTAATTTCTCCAGTTGTGACAATATGTTCCAGGGTCTCTTTCCTTATGATGTGTCCTAGTTTGGTTTATTAGCGTATAATATGTGTTTAGTAATTTTAAAACATCTTCATTGCTTATTCTGTCCCTATAAGATATGCATGCGTCTGTCAAACCACATCTCTGCTGCAGTGATTTTGTTTGACATTTTATTATTTATGTTCCAAGATTCACATCCGTACATCAGAACTGGTAGAATGTAACAGCTGAGAGTTCTTATACAGACGCGAGTTGCTATTTTCTTATTTGTCAGTATATTTTTCACTTTCATAAATGCTGTTCTTGCCATTGCTACTCTACATCTGATATCTGTCACGCCTCCCATCTGATGTCATCCATGAACCGAAATATTTGAAATGATGAACCTGCTTCAGTATTTCTTGGTCTAATTTTATGTTACAGGTTGGGATGACATTTTTCTGTAATTTAGATATTTGCAGCTGAATTATGACTAATTGTGATTCCACTTTCAGATACTTAGAGTTCAATTCAGACTAGACATAATTCGAGTTCAAGAAGAAGACTTTAATAATCCTCAACTGAAACTATCGGCATCGTGCGTTTAGATACCTTAAATTTATCAGAACAACAGATATCGTGAACTAGAAATGATGACGAGTCAAAATTAAGTTATGGTTGACGTTGCAGTTATCTGTAGTTATGTCAGGTACTACAGCAAGTCAGAGGCAGAGTTGGCTTTTTGCGAGCTGTTTTGACTTTTTATAGCAGAAGTTAAAGTTACAGATTGATTAGTAGTCATAGAAATGGCCCTTTTGACACAGAACTCAACCACAGCATTGACTCTCTGAAACCGATTTATTTATTTTAGTGGCTTGTGCGGCACAACAACGGTTACCTGCAGAGTGTTTTGCCATAAGCCAATAGAAACAAGACATCTTTGGGGAGCAGTTGGTAGTTGACTTAGAAATTTTGAAAATTTGCCTATTTTGCCCTGTGCTCTGAAGCGCCCCCTTTGCACAGTGCGCTAAACCGTATGTCTGTTACTTAACTTGGACGAGACAGAATGACAGACATCTCTAATTCAGTTTTGATTAGTCAGAATAATAGTTACAGATGTGTAAAGTGTTATCATAACCAGTGTGAACTGTTGTGCATAATGCTGTTAATGTAAAACTTCCTATTGGGTATTGGTCCAGCAGAGGATTAGAACACTAATTGCAGAAGTCATTGTAGATGAAATGTTAGAAAAATGTGAAACAGAAAGAGCTTCTCACCGAGGAATTTTGGACAGTGAGATCTTCGTTTTGTAGTCGAAATCTACTAGACATTTGGCCTCAGGCTGCTTTGACATGGTGCTAAACTTGTTGTTGGCAGCTTCCCTTCTGACTACAGATATGTGCAAAATCATTTCACCTAATCAAAACTCTAATGCAGAATATCTGTAAATACAGTGTGACTAGTCATAACTACGGCACGTCATTTAAACACTCAACACTTGCTTAATAGCTGGATGGATATGCACCGCGGATGTCCATAATTCAATTCTTCCAAAACAAAAAAAAAGAAAACCAAAAAAACGATGGCAACAAACGATGGACAAATGTCATAACATCATTGTTATCATTCATGTCTATGGGGTTTGTAATTACAGATATCACCTGCAGATATTGCCAGCAAGTATCTAGAATGTGAATTGTAAATACCTGCAGGTGAATTCTGACTAGTTTGAATTCCAGATTCAGATACTGCAGTTTAATTCTGACTAGTTGTTCCTCAATTCAAGATATCTACATTGTCCTTTTTATGCAGCTTAAATGAAGTTTTAAGTAGTCAGGATGATGTTGTAGATATCTGCAACTCTTGTCTGTAGTTACAGATATCTTGAATTACAGTTTTGACCAGATGAAATGATACTGTAGATATCCTTAGTTGCATCTGAAGCTACAGCAAGTCGAAGCCATTTGCTTTTCAAACGTACAATAACACTGCAACCATAAGCCACTTGACTGCCATTTCAGAGCAAACAAACTCCACGTGTATTTAATGTATATAATGTAAAAACTCCATGTATCTAAGAACCCTTAAATCAGAGTAAATTGTGTTCATTCAGACAGATTTCTCTTGTGGATCAGTTTTGGAAAACGAGAATAGTGCAAGTTTTCTTTTTGTATCACTCAGCAAAACCTGTTGTAACATGATGTGTTTGGGTTAATTCACCGTACTTTGTATTGCACTGCGACTATTATCACTAATGTGACTATTATGAACGTTGAACGTGCACATCGCAATGTTGACACTGAAATGATATAGTGTGCAGCCCTATGATTAAATAACAAGCCCAGGCTTATATCAATCAAACCTCAGGGTGAATGCCTGAACCAAGTCGTACGCATTGATCAACGGGCAAACATAAACAACCTCTGAAAGTTTCAGTCATCTCAAAGTACGTTAAATTAAAATATAGCATTGGCCACACCTGGCATATCTGAAATTGCAATGTTTCAATTGTGATTTTGACTGGACATCTATAAGCATGCACTGTGTTTTAATACATTTCATTTTGGCTGACTGTTTGACAAGTGATCCCTGTGTTTGTTTTAAAGGGAGAAAAGTTTGGCCCCTTCGCAGGTGAGAAAAAGCTTCCCAGTGAGCTGGATGAAAGCTCGGACACCAGGCTGATGTGGGAGGTGAATGCACACACGTCCGGCATTATTTATTTTGACACATTTTAGTGCACAAATATTTAAATATTACTGAATCCAGGTGTTGACTTTTGAATCAGTTCTGGCAGAGGTCATTTAGATTGAACTTTTAGCAGCTTTTAGTTGAGAATTCCTCCCATCATGGCAGCATCACAACTCTAAAAGCTGAATCAAATATGTAAGATGTTCTTTTAAACAGAGGTACTGTATGCAAGTACTCGAGTATTTCTATTTTTATGCTACTTTCTACTTCCAATCCACAATTTCATTGAGTGAAATACTTTCTTTCTTTTCTTTCTTTCTTTCTTTCTTTCTTTCTTTCTTTCTTTCTTTCTTTCTTTCTTTCTTTCTTTCTTTCTTTCTTTCTTTCTTTCACTAGATTACATTATCTGACAGCTAGCAGGGCTGCAACTCAGATATTTTTCATTGCTGATTAATATGTTGATTATTTTCTCAATTAATCAATTAGTTGTTTGATCTTTAAAATGTCAGGAAATGTTGTTTCTCAAAAACCCGTATGATGTCTTTTAATGTCTTGTTTTGTCCACAACATAAAGTTCAGTTTTCAATCAGAGCACTCCAAAAAAAAAAAAAAAAAAAAAAATTACTGTAACCAATTAATCGATTATCAAAATAGTTACCAATTAACACCAGCTGACATCTAATCGATTAATCATTGCAGCTCTAGTTACTTTTGAGATTAAGCTTTTACATTAAAAACAAATATTGAGCTTATAAAATACAGCACACTGTTCAAGATTAAATCAGTGTTTTTGTCCATTTCTTTCCTTTGACCACTTACAGAAAAAAGTCAGTGTGTAGCTGTGTAAATACAGATTTGCTTTCTGGAATAGAAAGGTTTACAAGTTGAGTTTGGCATGAAAAAAACACTGTAAAAGGCTTTCCTGCAAATTTTAAACATCCATTGTTCAGTAAGTATTAAAGATGTTGGAGTAATATTTGTCTTCCTGCTGTAAAACAAGCGTGTATGAGGACGTAGGCAGTCATAAAATGTGACACTTTCATCCCTGAGTCATCTTTATGGGCCCGTTTCTGCCAGATTAAACAACCTACTGAGCTGAACGTGCAAGGATAAATACCAAATATGCTATAAATTAAGAGAACGAATATTGTTGGGATATTTTTGTACTTTTTGAGCAGTGGATGCTTTAACATTTTGGGATAAAACATTAAAAATGTTCACAGTGTGTTTTTGTTCCATTTCTGAGTAGCTGTTTCTGACACAAACTGAATAACATTGTGTCAAGTGTGGCTGAATTCTATTCTATTCTATTCTATTCTATTCTATTCAGAATCAGAATCAGAATCAGAGTCGATCCCAGCCGACTTAGAACGAAGGCAGGGGACACCCTGGACAGGTCACCAGTCTATCACAGGGCTACACTTAGAGACAGACAACCAAGCACACTCACATTCAATTCAATTTAGAATCACCAGTTAACCCCAACATGTTTTTAGACCATGTGGGAGGAAGCCGGAGAACCCAGAGAGAACCCACGCTGCACGGGGAGAACATGCAAATTCCACACAGAAAGATCCCGGGTGTCCTCACTGGGATGCGAACCGGCAACTTTCTTGCAGCGAGGCAACAGTGCTAACCACTGCTCCACCTTGCAGCCCAAAATTGAAGATGCAAATACGAATATAAATATAAAAATAAAATACATAAAATAAGAGTGAAAAACATTAGCAATTGAATTATTCTGTTCTATTCTGTTCTATTCTATTCTATTCTATTCTATTCTATTTGTATAGCATCAATTTACAACATATGTCATCTCAAAGTACTTCACATAATATGGTGAAGGCCTTACAGACTTTAAACAGAGAAACACATTAAAAGTTACCCATGAATTCCATTTGAGCAAGCACACACTTGTACACATAGTCCTTACATGTCTCAATTATCAAAGATGTACCATTTACAGCGAGCTTTATGACAACCCTAAAATTGCTCTGTAATTTAAGCAACATTTTTACTTTGACGGCCATTCTGTATTTCCAAATCTCTAATTTTGGGGATTTTTCCATCATAAATATAATACTTTCAACAGGGAAAATGTCAAAATAAAACATTTGAGGTGAAAACCCTTGTTTGACTTGATATAGAATGCCCATGAGATTAAGTCTAGAAAATACACACTAAGTTGTGGAGTAGAACTCTGCTTTGTGTTCCTTTCTGTCCCAAAAATAACTGCTGGACCCTTCAGATATGTCTTGTGAACCTTCAGAGGGCCCCCGGCTCGAGCTTGGGAACCACTGTGCTAAACTAACTGTATAAAAGGTACATTAACTCTGTTCAGGACTTTCATGTTGCCGTACGTAGAAGGTCTTTGGGGGTCCATTGGACCCCAAGAAAGAATATGTGCAAAATATTTGTTGGTATTCATTATAGACATTTATACTATGTTAAATAAATTTCCTGATAAGTTGATGTATTTGTGGTTCTAAATGCAAGACAAATGTCCCTCTTTTTATATTTAAAACAAAAATCTTCAAAAATCTTCAAAAATAAAACCTGTCATCTAAACCAAATGGCCTGGCGTCCAAAAGACCCCAAAAGTCCTGAATAGGGTTAAACTAACTGGATCTTTCCTCAGCTACAACAGATGACACATGGAATTAGTAATCTAAAACTGATATCTAGAATTAGATTCCAGCTACAAGAGACATTTTACTCTGGAATGAGTCTTCAAGCACATTTTGTTGTTCTGTACTTTTACTTAAGTAGTAACTAACAGAGTAACACCATACGTCGTCTTGTTGGAATTTATATTGCATTTCAGTACAAATCACAATCTTTATCACATGACACAGCTGCTTGTAGGTATAGAGACAAAGAGGACATTTAATTACGTTGCCGATCAACTGGCTGACTCTCCTCTTATTGCAAGAAGAAGCCTCTGATGGTAAAACAAATGCTGCGATGTAGTTATCTGTAGCTGCCACATTGTCAAGTACAGAGCTGTACACGTGAGTCGGTGTTCATATGTTAGGCCAATACATAAACCATCAAAGCAACAAGAGAACAAGAAGGAAGAAACAGTTGTACACTTCTGACGACTCATACAGCTTCTGTTTTCTTTTTCAGGTCCGTGGCAGTAAAGGAGATGTGCTGTATATTCTGGATGCGAGTAATCCTCGCCATGCCAACTGGCTGCGGTTTGTCCATCAGGCGCCTTCGCAAGAGCAGAAGAACTTGGCAGCCATTCAGGTACATTTCCACTCAGTGGACAATAAATCCCTCAGACTTACCTCAAAGAAAGAAAATGATAAATATTACAGGCATCTGTCAGGATGGACAAATACAGAGCTTTGAACTTAAACAGGCAGAATATGTTTCAGATTCTTTCAATTTTAGACTCAACAAATAAAGAAATCTCTTTTTGGCTTGGAAAAACTTCAGAGCCAGATGGAAAATGTCCAATTTCTAGTCGTGTAGGTCAAGAAAACATCCCAAATCACTATGTGAGTTAAGTAACAGTAGAGAGTGAACACAGTGGATACAATGAAGTAAAAGGCAGCTCAAGAATTGTGATTGTTTTTATAATTAAAATAGGTTTACGATGTAAGGGTAAGTAAATTTCTCTTTAAGAAAATTACATTTCAGATAATGCCAATTGTTCATTACATGGCAAAAGAAAACACTTCAAATGGTGAAAGTCTCTTTGTAATCAAATGTCTAAGCTTTTGTGAGCTCTTATAAATGAATGTAAGTTTGATGTATGTTTGGATAGGAAGAGAAGCGTATTTATTTCTCTTCTGTTTTTCTCTTTAGGATCCATAAATTTCTGCCAGATTTAACAACCTATGGAGCTGAAACTGCATTCTATTCTATTCTATTCTATTCTATTCTATTCTATTCTATTCTATTCTATTCAGAACCAGGTTTATTGCCAGGCATTGTTTACGCAATATGAGGAATTTGTTCTGGTGGGTTGGTGCAAATATAGAAAAAAGAAAAAAAATTGAAGATCCATCCATCATCTATACACCGCTTAATCCTCACTAGGGTTGCGGGGGGGCTGGAGTCTATCCCAGCGGAGTCAGGGTGAAGGCAGGGGACACCCTGGACAGGTCACCAGTCTATCACAGGGCCACACTTAGAGACAGACAACCAAGCACACTCATATTCACACCTATGGACAATTTAGAATCACCAATTAACCCCAACAGTAGAGAGTGAACACAGTGGATACAATGAACTAAAAGGCAGTTCAAGAATTGTAATTGTTTTTGTAATTAAAATAGGTTTACGATGTAAGGGTAAGTAAATTTCTCCTGGAGAAAATTGCATGTCAGATAATGCCAATTGTTTATTACATGGCAAAAGAAGACACTTCAAAATGCTTAAAGTGTCTTTGTAACCAAATGTCTAAGCTATTGTAAGCTATTATAAGTTTGATGTATGTTTGGATAGGAAGAGAAGCGTATTTATTTCTCTTCTGTTTTTCTCGTTAAGATTTTTGAGATTTTGCTGAGGGAATATTGTTGAGATCGCAGCCACTAAATTCCTTTTCTCAATTTGTTATTTCCAAAAGACTCCAAGAATCTTTTTTTTTAGAAGTTATTATATTGACAAATAATGTGTCAACAACAGTAGTCAGGCCCTACGAGAAAATAAAAATCTGAAGAATTTTAAAAACACAACCGCTTACAGCATACAAACGCACTTTCACACACACTTATGAACTCAGGGAATCAGGGACATTTCACCTCTTGCTCTTCAGCGCAAAAGATAAAAAAGCATTCGTGGGGGAAGAAAAATAGACATGGAAGGAAGACAGGACGAACATTTCAGGTCTCGGGGCCAAGTTCCTGCCATTAATACTCAGAATGCCCGGAGTGATTGGTCGTTTAAAGGTCATGCATGTGCGTTAAATCTCTGCGTTTCATCAACAGTGACATTTATTGTGTAGCTTTCCTCTGCCTAATCATTATTTATGTATATTTAGAATCCCATAGTTAAAACAAAACGACGGTTTGATTTTATTAACATGACCTTTAAGGACAGCGAAGTTAATGACAACATTTTTAAGGGTTTGAGCCTTTGACCCGCGGCCTCAATCAGGCCTTTAACAGACTGTTGTCTCGGCGTAATGAGTTCAAATCTCAGCCAGCCTCAGTAGTTTCTCAGTGTGCTTTACCATAAAAGGTTAAAACTGATTTAGAAACCGGCTGGAGTGTTTTGTCTTTGCATTCCTCTCACATATGTCGAGTCATGTTCTGCCAAATCTCCATGTCATCGTTATTAACGTGCGACAAAACGCATGTTTTTGTTTGTTAGGATGGAGAAAACATCTTCTACCTGGCTGTGGATGACATCGAGACAGACACGGAGCTCCTGATAGGCTACCTGGACAGCGATATGGAAGAGGAGGAGGAGGAAGAGGAAGAAGACATTAAAGATGACGATGAGAACAGTAAAGATGCCAAACATCTTGTAGAAATGGGTAAAATGGAATGCCCTTGTTCTTTTTCCTATTTTTTCCCAATTTTAAGTAGCCAATGTATGGCACACACATGAAACAAACCTCAAAGAAATTACATTTGCTCCTTAGATTTCTACAGCATTATTTACTATATATAACATCTCACCAGAACTGGTAATAAAGAAAGAGGACCACCCCTGCTTGCTGTGTGAGAGCAGTTTTCCCAGCGAGGAGATCCTGGCCGCCCACCTCCAGAGTCTGCACCAGAGGCCCAGCACAGAGGAGAAGGAGTTCAAATGCAGGAACTGTGGCAAGAAGTTCCCCATCAAACAGGCCCTGCAGCGCCAGTGGGTTCACTGTTTCATCGCTTAACTGGTTAAATTTCATTTAACGTTCAACTTCTCTCCAGTAACACTTCACAAGCCAATGATAAATCTAAAAAGTATTAGCTCAGCCCATCTCAGATTACATGTTAGGTACTCATTCGTTTGCTTCTGGTACAAAACAAATGTACTAATAAAATCAGAATGAGGAACCTGCTATGGTTGCCTAAAGCAAAAAAAAAAAAAATGTTATAGTTGGGAAATACACCTTCTGGCTTGGCAAGATGTGTATGTTTAAAATTAAGCTGGATGCAGCATCCAGATAGATTAGCAAAGTTTAGCACAAAATCTGAAAACAGACAAACAGTTAAATTGTTTGCTCTAACAAGGTTATGTAACAACCAAAAAATTCTGCCCTCGTTGGCACAACTGAAAGGCCACGAGTGACGAAGCTGTGACAAGCAGTCACATAAATATTTTTTGACTTTTTGGCTGAACTGCAGGCTGTGTTTACACAGAGCAGAGCCGAAACAAGTGAGGAAACTACTTAAAAATGTAAATAGTTGATATATCTATACTATTTGGAGCACTTTGAAAAATGTTGATTCTAGTATTTTTTTTTTTTTTTACATTTTTGTGAACTACTTAAAGAAATTCACCTTTGATTTTCATTTTTTATGTTATGTGGCACTATAGCTATGTCATACTGCACAAAGCACACTTTTACTTTCGCTCTACTTCTATCTGTGGTTGTGCTGTTTCCATGGAGGTGCAGGACTTTATATTGCAGTGACAAAAGAGCAACTGTGACACAATAAAAAAAGCAGAAACTGCTTGAGGTACAGACAGTTAATGCTAATCTAGGCCAACTAACTGCAGCTTTATACTGTTAAGACTTGAGTGTTATCAATCTTTTAATCTAAAAGGTCTATAAGAAAACGAATGTGTAAATGTCCCGAAAATATACTTCCCTAACTATTTTTAATTAAGTTTCATTAGTAATTTAAATTTTCCCAAAATATATGATATATGCTTGTTTCTAGGGCTGCAAGATGGCGCAGTTGGTAGCACTGTTGCCTTGCAGCAAGAAGGTCGCCCGTGCAGCGTGGGTTCTCTCCGGGTTCTCCGGCTTCCTCCCACAAGGTCCACAAACATGTTGAGGTTAATTGGTGATTCTAAATTGTCCGTAGGTGTGAATATGAGTGTGCTTGGTTGTCTGTCTGTAAGTGTAGCCCTGTGATAGACTGGTGACCTGTCCAGGTGTCCTCTGCCTTCGCCCTAAGTCAGCTGGGATAGACTCCAGCCCCCCGTGACCCTAATGAGGATTAAGCAGTGTATAGATAATAGATGGATGGACGTTTGTTTCTATGTACAAATTGGTAGCTAATGTTATGAAGCTTAAATTAGGAATTATTCAAATGACTCATCATCCTGGTGTGGTTCATTTCCTTCTTCGTGTCTAATTTGTTTTCATTTTGAATCCTTTCTCAGTGTTTTGCATTGTTCTGAGTCACTGGATCCATCAGGTGACTCTAAAGCTCACCAGTGCTCCCTCTGCCACAACACCTTCGGCTCAGAATCCAGGTAACACACACTGTCCCAACATACACACAATACGTGCCCAATGACAGCTGGGATTTGTTTCCTAAAGGCACACAGTTGTACCTTTAGTCTGTAACTCACAAACCTTTTTCCTGTTCCAGTTTTGAGCAGCATAAGGAAGCCTGCAAAGGAGATGCCAGGTTCATATGTAAAGCAGAGAGCTGTGGCAAAAGATTCAAGAGCAAGGATGCTCTGAAGAAGCACAAAGGAAACGTTCATGCAGGTTCTCTTTTTCTTTTCATTGTATTTCTCTGCGATGCTCCCTTCCTCTCGCTCTCTCTCCGTTGTGCACATATTCAAATGCACAGACGTCGAGTTATGAAGATAATTGTCCATTAGCAGCCTCAGCACTCAAGGAGCCGTAGTAACGGTGCGTGACCTCGATCAGTTAAAATCCCTGCAATGTTGAGACACATCTCTAATTACTTGCGCTCCATAATTGCTGACCTGTGTGTTCTGGGGCAGCTCACTCTTTCAGATAATTGGACTTGCATAGCTATTTATGATGGGATGTAGGGCAGCGGGGATCTGTGCAGCCTTTACACGTGAATCAAGTATCAACCCGCGATAAAGACGTTTATCTGAGAGGCTGGTGCAGCTGAGATCTGGGCCTTTATGTTTTTTTTTCCTAATGTGGTCGGGACAAGGAGTGTGTGTGTGTGTGTGTGTGTGTGGGCGAGGGGGGAAGTGGATCAGACGCAACAGATGTGGGTCATGTAATTCAGATGAGGATAAAGGGAGGGTGTCGCTGGTCCTGAAATGGTGGGAGCACTGGGCCTATGATTAAGAGAGCAAAACATTTGGCGCGTTCCCTTCCACTGCATAATGATGTGTCATAAAATTGTTGCTCAGTGTTATCAGTCCCGTACATGGGAATTTGTAATCCAGTTTGTTTGTTTTATTTTTTTTATAGGGAGTGCACGACGGAAACTGACATGCACCATATGCAACAGAAAATGCTCCTCGTCTTTGAATCTGCAAGAACACAGAAAGGTGAGATTCTCCCACATCTGCTTTACAGCTCAGTTCATCCCAACCAGATACTTTGCATCGGATCTGCGAGGATTTACAGAGCTCACGCAGTTTTGCATGATCCATTTTTACACTGATGTCTCTTTAGTGCTGTTGCTCGCCGTACAGTCATATCCATCACACTCCACTGTTTCTATAACCCAGTCTAACCTCCTAATCTGGCATTTGTCTCCTCTGAGTTCACTTATTCCCCTTTTTATGATCAAGTTCTTGCAAATTTATTCTGGGTGACACAGAGCAGAGCGAAGGTTTCTTTTTCACATGCTCATCCCACAGGTCTCGTGAAATTTAAGAGGCTCTACTGGCAGACAACGAGGTTTAAACCTTGGCGTCAGGATTCTCCCTCGTATTGATGGATTACAGATTGGAACACATATTTCTGAAAACAATTCTGCGATATTTGCTTACAGATAAATATTTGTTGTGTTACTGTGCATATCATCCCTTTCTCAGTCGATACTTTTGCTGTTGTAAACACTTGATGATTGGTAACTTCTTTCTACGCTACATTCCTCTTTTGCACAGAAAGTAGGCTAATGAGTCTTCCATTCGCAGATTTAATTCCTTTGCAATTACATGCTATTAAATAAACTGCATTGAATAATTATAATTAATGCAACTGACATGTACAACTGGTGATTCAACTTTTTGCTATGACGATCACGAGGTAAACAGTAGAAAACGGCATCCGTGTTACAAAACAACAATTTGTTGCAGCTGCCGTTTCTTTCTGCTGAAGCTCAAACACTCACACAGTCGTCAGCTGACACTAGCAGATTCGAAAGTCTGAGTTCACCTTTGTTCAGCTTCGTTGAGGCTAATGTGCTTGTTTGCTGTTAGAAGCAGCGATGCATTATTTTTCTGAATGTAGAAGGTATTATTCTGTGTTTTAATGACTATATTTAGTGCAGTATCACACTACCGGGCTGCAAATTGTAGCTTTCCAATCACATTATTCACAACAACATTAAAACCTTATTGTAAAAAATTATGTAGCTCCCTCTTGTGATGCTAAAACAGCTTTGAACCATGGACAGGGGGCCTCTGATGGTCTCCTGTGGTGTCTGACACTGGGACATTGGCAGTGGATCCTTTGGGTTCTGTTGGTTACTGGGTGGGCTGCAAGGTGGCGCAGTTGGTTACCACTGTTGCCTCGCAGCTAGGTCGCCAGTTTGCGTCCCGGTGGGGGCACCGGGATCTTTCTGCGTGGAGTTTGCATGTTGTCTGTAGGTGTGAATGTGAGTGTGCTTGGTTGTCTGTCTCTAAGTGTGGCCCTGCGATAGACTGGTGACCTGTCCAGGGTGTCCCCTGCCTTTGCCCTAAGTCAGCTGGGATAGGCTCCAGCCCCCCACTACCCTAGTGAGGATTAAGCGGTGTATAGATAATGGATGGATGGTTACTGGGTGGGGCCTCCTTGGATCTGGCTTATTCTGTTGCATCCTGTTGTGCTCGATCAGATTGGGATCTGACAAGTTCATTGGCTGGGTCAGCACCTTGGGCTTTCTGTTGTGTTTCTCGAGCTATGGGGGAGGCTGCTGCCATGCGTAGGATGTATTTGGCCTCCAGCACTGTTTAGGTTAGTGGTTGTGCCAAAGTAACATCCACATGAGTCACAGAGCCCAAGATTTTCCAGCAGAACATTGATTTGTAACAAGTTGATCAGTGGTACACACGTCACCTGTCAGTGGTTTTAATGATGCTGATCAGTGTATGTTGTGTTTACAGTCCGTGACTAATGTTTATTTACTACCTGCATCAGAAATGTGACATTATGTCCTTTTGTAAATGTTAATGTAAACAGTGTTCATGTTCAGACTTGGGATATGTAGCATTTCTAATTTCTTTGAGCTCTTAAAGTGACAGCAATTTGTTATTCGGACATATATTTACATTGTTGTTCCTCACGGCTTCATTCAGACACACATATTACAGTGTCAGAGCCACAGTACACCTCAGACGCTACGTCGATTTGTCATCATCTTGTGCGTGCGTAACTGTTAATACGACTCCCTGCTGTCTAGACTTGTGCCGTGTGAAAAGTGATCCTAGATACTAGTGATTACTAGATCTGACTGAGTTAGATTAGTCAACTTGGTCGAATCTTTGCATCTTTTACGGAAAAGTGACCCCGACGTTTATTCAGACATGAAACTGACACATTCAGATGCCATCAAATGAACGTAAAGGGGTACATGCCTGGAAGTGAAGTAGTCATGTCTTAAATCAGCAGCAATGTGCCTTTGAATGTTTGTAACTGCCTTGATGACGCTGATAGAACTGCATTGCAGCACAAGCTGAGCCTGTTTCAACTTTTTTGCTGGATAAAACTACTTTGTTCTGGTGGAGCCCCTGCATTGACACCTCCATGTATCAATGTACCAGTCCCATTCAGGTGACTCAGAGAGCTGTCAGTTGATTTGGCTGAAAATATGAGCTGCTCTCTGTCTTATGGTATCCATTTATTTTTTATGCGTGTATTTTCCATTAACCATTACACTTTGACCCTGTGGATTCAGTTTTATTTTTCTATTAGCTATGTCAGGCTTCAGGTCAGGAAAGCTCTTTTGATGATGTTGGTGTTGAAGTTGTCTCAAACCATTTGTCTTATTGGTTTTCACTCATTAACTAACTTTCGTTCATTAATTCTCCCAGCTGCTAATTGTGAAATTCAATTTTCTGCTGTCAACATGTATCATCCAGATTAATCAGCAGACATTAATCCATCCCTGTCAGCTTATTTATCACCAAGTGTCCAACATTTAAAGTCACCTGGAAGTTGTGACATAGTTGTGCAGTGAATCATTTAACCTACTTCACCTGTCTGAGTCAGTGTTCTCCAGTTTCAGATCTCCTGTGGCCTTTAAAATAGGAGTACGTGATATTCCTATGTGGCCTCCTAATGTGTCAGTGTGCCAGTTTTACTACTATGTGGCTCATGAAGCATTTTCTAATCACACACTATTGTCTGCTATAAAATAGAGATCAGAAAGGCAGAACGTGTCTGTAAATTTAGGTCAGCATCACATCAGTTTTTGATAAACGTCTTTTTTTTGAGTAAAAATCCGATGAAGATGTGCAGAAGAATTGATTCCTACTAAGTGTTATTTTAAATATGTCACATTTCTGACAAAAATATCTGGCATGTTCTTATAGCTTCAATCAAAGCCATTGGGGCATTACGTATTATTCTTGCAGAAGAGCAATCAAACTTTCCATAATGACAATTTAGCTCCAAAGCAGCTTAAAACTGCCATTATCATCATTTAGCTGAACAAGCTTTTACAGAAGCAGCTGTGACAAGAGGAGCTGAGTTGCATTAGCATATGCTTTTGCAGCTGTACGCCGGGGAACTATTGAATGTGCAATTATTGGAACTATGCTCCGAAGCAGAAAGGGGATTGAAACTTTTCATCACTTTAATTACTTTTCTGTCTGTGGACATCAGTCTAATGAAAACGGACAAGATTTAGCTGGAGTTGACCATCACGGGCCGTGATCCTTGAACCTTTACAGGCCCTTTACACTTGAGTTTTTAAAATAATCAGCAAGACCAAAACTTACTTTGGCTTTTGTGTCGTAGGTACATGAAATATTTGAATGCCACGCCTGCGACAAAAAGTTCATCTCTACCAATCAGCTCAAACGCCACATGATCACACACTCAGGTAAGAGAAAGCTGCAGTAAATTGATGACTTCTTTACTTCATGCGTCGTCTTTGTTTGTTGAAAAGAATCTCTGCTGTTCTCCGACTGATTAGAGAAGCGACCGTACACCTGTGAGATCTGCAGTCGATCGTTCAAGCGTTTGGACCAGGTGACGGCTCACAAGATCATCCACAGTGAGGACAAACCGTACAAATGCAAGCTGTGTGGGAAAGAGTTCGCTCACCGCAACGTCTACAAGAATCACAAGAAGGTAAGCGAATGGCGTCATAGTAATCCACGATGGAGATGTCAGTTGAGCGGCAGAGTCGATTCAAAGCTGATATTAGTGAGGCTGTAATCAATCAGGGTCTCGTTGGTGGCTGTTATCTGTGGGGTCTCTGGTCCTCTTCACCCCCGAGGTTCCCCCGCTTGTTTACTTTTGGGATTGAGTTGTCACTCAGATAGATGGGCGGAGGGGGAGACAGACGGGTGCAGAAGGGGGGAGTCAGAAAAACAGAAGCACTTTGAACTTAAAACCCCTCAAGCTGCTTGTCTTCATCAAGTCAACAAACCAAATTGGCTGCGGAGCCTCATTCACAATCCTCTCACATCAGTTTTAAGACGCGTCCATGTTACAGACATGCTGATGTTCTCTCTGCAGACACACTCTGAGGAAAGGCCTTTCCAGTGCGAGGAGTGCAAGGCGCTGTTCCGCACCCCGTTCTCTCTGCAGCGTCACCTTCTCATCCACAATAGTAAGTATGAACACAAGTGTGTTCTTGGAAGCCTTCGCACAATGAAGTTAAAGAGACACATCAGTTTTCTTTTCATTTATACACCGTTATGACGTTCATGTTCTACAACTCAAGGTGAACTTATAGAAAATGTTCTGAACACTTTGCGATGCTACCTGTACTGCCCTGTCGAACTGATGTCACGTCTGTCATGCTCGCCCACAAAACATTTGTCCATTATTAATCTTTGTTGCTAAGGTTGTTCAGTGGGTTGCTGGCTTTCTACACTCCCATGTGTCACATATGTATTTGAGAATTTGACACCTTGAGGAGAAGAGTAAGGAAAGTAAGTGAAATCCAGCTGTTGTTTTTCTTTTTTTTTCCATTTCCCAGCTGAAGTCTGCAAAGGGTTTGGCCAACTCAGAATAGAAAGATTTTTTGAGTATGGGGGCTTTAAAGAGATAAAGGCTAAAATAATGTGTTTCAGACAGAAGCAGTCGATGCTTAAAGTGCAGATTTAAGTTTTTAAACTCTAAATCATGCAAAAAATTTGCCCACACACTCTCAGAATACAAACACGGTGCTGGAAATGTACATGTTAAATTAACTGGGTAATGATTGATTAAATTGCCTCCGAATTACACTGATCACTTGCAAGGAAGAAAGTGTTACGTCTTTTCTCAAAAGTTATGCAGCCACACATTAAAGTCAGTGTAAAGTAGTATTCAATATGTGTTTGACTGAGTTTGAGTTTGTCACATTACAGCCAAACTTTGTTAATAACCACCCAGTAAGATTTAGATGATTTAAAAAAATCACCTTATATATACAACATTGAATTCAAATAAAACAAAACAAAACAAAACAGTATTGTGAATAATGATTCACATCTTTCACAATATCTCAAATGAACTGTACTAACAGTGAAAACAGACCTGCATTTAGGTTAGACACAAACATACACTCTAAAAATTGAACATTTTCAGCCCTTTTCAGTGTCTGTGAACTACATTACTTACTTCAGTAAACTAAGGATTTGGGGGACATTTATTCCTGAGAGTGGCACCACCAAGGATAAGGAGAGAAGTAGACTGTCTGGCCTCATTCACCAGTTAGGGATTATCTGTGAATCCACCTCTTCTTCATTTTAGCATTCTTTGGAAATTGAAATAGGGAGACTGAGTCGTTTTGCATATTCTGGCATCCAGGGAATCTGCATTTGCTGGATGGAGATATAGTTAGCTAGCAAACTGTGGGCCATAGTAGGTGCAGTAACTCATGATGGAGCAAGACATCTGTTGATGTAAATGTCATCTAGTTTTTGTAATGTTAGTAGGTTATGCAAAGTATGGTTCCAGTGTGTCATCGAGGCATGATCTCTGACCGACCCAAAATGTCCTGAACTGTCAATTACTGTCTGACACACACATATATATATATTTCGTGTTTAGATGCATGTTTTCCCCTTACACCGACTTTAAGTCGTTTTTAAAGCTTCTCTGATGTATAAAATATTTTTAAGAAAAAAAATACATCAAGGATAATTTTGCTTCGTCTCGCTCTTTGTTTTGGTATGGAAGATAGGTTTATTTTGATATTTAAACTTGAATTTATGGGCAGCACACCAAATTATGTTATTCTGATCATTTTTAGTTGAAGTGCAGTAACAAGATGAACCCAGTTCCTTGGTGTGAATGGTTTTCTCCCTGTACTTTGATCTAGAATGGTAACCTTTAAACCAGCCCAGTGAGTTTTACAGGCGATACATTTTTATTAGCTGTCATCTCATCCTTATCCCTGTAGACATTTCCATTAGCAACAGATGTCACAGCCCCATCAAACGTCTCCTTGCTAAGACATTGGTTTTCTGATTGTCTGCTCGTCCCTGGCCGACTCTGACAGAAACGTTCTCCCTGGACAGTTGAGCTGCCACTGAACCTTGGCAGGATGCAGCGCTGGTCCTCCAATTGAGCCAGATAACATAGAGATTGTAAGCTCAAGGCATTTCCTGCCGCTGTCTTGGGCGGCAGGCAACATAATACCAGGACTTGTATTATGTATCAAGTTCTAGACAGTATGTGGGACTAGAGGATCGAGTGTGTGATTTCACTGTACCGCAGGTGAGAGACTAGACATGCCGCTGAATAAATTTGTCTGCCTTTACGGGTTAAAGTCAGAGAACCACTTGAGCTCTCCAGCAAGTGGCTCACAGTGAGAAAATGAAGCACAGCTGTTGTTGGATTTTCTGATGAAACTCATTTTTATTTTCTTATTCTAAACTACTGAGTTTTTTCTGTGAGGTTTGTTTGTACATGTGTTCTAAGTGGGACTCGCCTCACTTTCTTGACACAAGCTTTTTTTCAACCTATTTTTTATGAGTTTGTGAAATTTGTGACTTTTGAAATTACAATTTCTATACAAATCAGCCTGTGCTGCTCTATTTGGGTTCAAGTTTCATTCACAAAAACATGGACGAGGAGTTAAAGAACGAACTCTCCCTGCAAGGTTTTCATGTCTGGCTGTCTCAATCAGCTGAGAAAACCTGACAAATGTAACTGTGCCTGAAGTTCTATAAGGTGATCTGAAACACGAGTAATATTTTGTCCTAAATATTCTCTTCTCACTGTGCGGTGATAGAAATAAAGCAGGTTTAACATCAAGTCGGATGCCAAAAAAAAAAACCCATGACTGACAGAAATAGGTAAGAGAATATTATACAAGTGGTGACGTTACACTGTCAGGTGTTACAATGACGATAGTCCTTGCAAAGTGACCTGCATTTAGACCTTCAGGCTGCTGAGAAAGTGAAGGAGAATCCTCACAGTTATGAAACTGTTGTGAAAAATGTGCCAAAAAAAGAGCAAGTTAGAATAGTTTTTCATAAAATTTGTTAATCTTGTTAGTCTTTGTCATGTATTTAAACTTATGACTGCTTTGATGAAAGACATGTTAGTTTTTACATTTTGACACATTTTTTTTTTTTTACATTTACATTTTATGCATTGAAAATGGCTCAACATGCCATCTACTGCTTTAAATCATTCTTAACCTTGTAAAATCAGTGCTGAAATAGTGTCTGGGACTTATCTATGTGATGGCATTTATTGAAAAAAAAAAAATTATAGGCCTTTAATCAGAGGTGGGTATTCCTCCTTTCCTTGCCCCGATATAAAGATGGACCAACCCTCCATGAGGTCATCCATATGTTTTGTGAACAGCCGCTGTCTCCAGCTTGACAGTGACTGACTCCTTGTAACTCTTGGCTAATCCAAAAATGAGCAAAGAAGTGGCGCGTCACTAGAGATGAGGTGGGTCATGAAAAAATGTTTTTGGACCAGGGATTGTCCTATGATGGCACCCACCAGTCTCTCAGAGCCATGATCTAATTATGAATACCTTTAAACTGTAATATAATTTCAATTACAGCATGTAATTTTAAAAAAAAATAAAAATCACCCACTGTAAAGTTCTTCATTTTCAAATGTATTATTATTATTTCTAGCACTCCACTTATTTACCTTTTAATTTTGGCACAGTGGTTCGGACTTGTCATATCTTTGGGCTGGATGCAGCTTGGGATCACCAGGGTCTTCCACCTTTATCTACTTCAGGGCATTCTTTCTAAAGTCCTCCACTTAAAAACAGCTTTCTGTGGCGTAAGTGTGGCAGATTCTGTGTCATGCTTTATTTTTCTCTGGCCAGGGAATGGCACCAGTCATGTGTCCCTATAAATGCCAAGCGAATTTGAAGAGAACTTTTGAAACATATTGCAGAAAAGAAAATACAAATGAGGTTGTTGTTTCCATTAACTGCTTTGGAGCAACTAAACTGGGCCATGTTTTGTCATCAGGAGGCTACATCAGACTTTGTTGTATTATACAGAGTTGAAGAACTAGAGGTTGCAAAGTTTTTTGTTGTTGTTTTTTTGATAATTTTTTAAAGTTATGCAGTGAGTGGAGTTAAGGTCAGAGCTGATTTAAGCACTTTTTTGTTGGGTCAGTTGTGTTTAGACCCTGTGTTTGTGTGTGTATAAGTTATTGTCTGAACATGTTGGTTTAATATCAAACTGAGGCTCTGCTCCGTGTATTGAGGGTGTCATTGACATTAATTATTATCAAGCGAGTGTTTCAGCGTGATTAGAAACAAGGGGAACCTCAGCTTCCACTAGTGTTCCACTTTATTAAGCTGACCATCATCGGCTTTGGTAATCGGAAAATGAGCACAAGCTTGTAACCACTTGCTCCCTCCATCTAAACTGCTCTGTGGAAATTGAATGATCTCCATATAATGGAAACATCTCCCCTTCAACAATAGAGGCTGTTGTGCGGAGGCGTGAAGGAAAACATCAGGCCTCATTCTGCGAACAGCTGAGACTGTGCCCCGACATAACTGTCTGAGTGCTGTCTGACGTTTTAGTGCTGCGCAGTGGAATGATTAATAAAATCAGGCCTGTTTTTTTGTGCACTGTACAAAAAAAAAACAATAAAGCAGAACCGCTTGAAACTCAGACCAAACATATGGCGGAGCAGTTTGTTTTACTGTTTCCCGTGGGATGTGTTTGGCTACAGATAGACAATAAAAACGGCTTTTGTTAAAAAAACAGAACCAGACCGTTCTAAAGAGCATTGTTTGGGGTTTGTCTGTGCAATGAAACACCCTCCCTTTGTAGTTTTCTGCCCACACAATCGCCCCGGTGAAATTGGGTCCCCTCTTGCTGTGCGTGATGACTGTGTGTTTAGAAGCACAACAATAGCTAACTGGAAATGGCTCTTACAAGTGCTCCGTCCACCCTTGCAACAGGTGAGAGGACATTCAAGTGTGACCAGTGTGACGCTACCTTCAAGAGGAAGGACACGCTCAACGTCCACATCCAGGTGGTGCACGACGGCCACAAGAAGTACAAGTGCGACCTGTGTGAGAAGGCCTTTGTCACCCCGTCTGTCCTCAAGAGCCACAAGAAGGTAAGCGAAAAGAGCTCGAGCCAGACAGCCTCAATCACACCTGGTGATTGCATGTCTGCTGGGGCTGTTACTTTGTCCTGGAATTGACAAAATTGGGGTTGTGTTTATTCGAAATGCACAGAGTTCAAATGTAACAGTCAGAAAATCCCTTATGAAACATTGCAAAATTGTCCTCACATAGTAGCTAAGTTTAGACCGCATTTCGAGTGAAAGGCAAAAGTAATAGGATTTCACTAAATTACAGTTTACATCTGATTTTCCATCATCAATCTTCCGCCATCAAACTAAATTTACAAGTAAAGAAGTGACTGCCTAACCATGTACTTCACCAAAACATTTCCATTGTTTCACAACCAGCCCTGCTCCTTGTCTCGTGAAAGACTTGGACGATCAAACCTGCCGGAGACATCCGTCTTGACCGTTGCTGCCCATGAAGGCTTTAAAATCAATTCCTGTGTTGATTAGAAATGGCAGTTAGTCCATTAGCTCCGCAGGGTTTCAAAACCCCAAACAGATCTCGCTGCAGATTATGAGCCCTAAACCTGACAACGTCCGGTGCGGTTATGGATCAAGATTGAAACCAAACAGCTTCTTGGCACACAGCAAAAGAAAATGTCTTGGAGGTTGTCTCAGAACAGTAGGGCTGAAGACAGGCATGTTGAACCGTCTCACTGCTTACAGTGTCTGGAGGCTGCTGAGAGATCTGGCCTTGATCAAAGTCAGGTTGCAGAGGAGAGGACAACTCACTGCCTGTGTTTACATGTGTAGAGTAGCCCAGCTTTTGGCCACACTGTTGTTGAAATCTTACTTAATGTGCAGTCTGCAAATGTTTGTCTGAGCAAACTTGGCGCCTTGAACAATCACAAATAATTATCACAGCCATGTTCTAAATGGAGCTCGGTGCAGCATTTCTGATTCAACAGTGAATTTTGAAGGATAAGTATCTTTTCAACATCATAGGTTTCTAATAATCACTGTACGAGTTTACCTCTGTTTCTAACCTTCTGAACCCTAAGAGGTTTCTGAGCGTTTTTTGCTCCTGTCACATTTTTAATCACTGTGGGCTCATTGTTCACTGCATTGTAAAATCCTCTATGGAAACAGCACAACCATGACTAGAAGTTGAACAAACTCAAAAATGTTCTTTTGCAGTGACACATATATAATACCATAAATAATGATAAATAATCAACATGGAATCAATGTGTACAACATTTTTCCAAGTGCCAACTGGTGTCACCGATCCTGGGAAAAGTGGAGACTCTATCTATTGTAGATATTTTACTGCTCATATTTGTTTTTTTGTTTCCATACCTGCCTCCTCCTGCTCCTCTTGCAGTTCAGCCCAGCTTAGTTATTACTCCTGCTTCAAGTCTCATTTTATTAAAAAAAATACATATCAGAAATTCAGTAATATGATGAAAAAAGCAACAGGCTTTGGTTTCTTCTTTGGTCAACTGAGCATTTTAGAGACCTTTGAGGGTGCATTTAGTGGCTGCAATAGGAAAAAGGCAACACTTTGTTCAGCACGTCGCAAATCATTTCACCTGAATCAGGATTTTAAACAAGTTTTAAAAGAAGTAAATACGATTTAAACTTTGCAGATGACACTGAATGACTTGCTGCTATGCAATCACATTTATTTCCTTTTGTGCTGGAGCCAAAACAGAACAGATCCGTAAATGTGTGAGTCATATGTGCGGATATGTGCTGCAGCAGTTGGTTGTGTAAATGAACAGCAACGCTGCACATATCAGGCCAGAGTTATTCGTGGAGCGCTCTTGTGTTACAGTAAATGCTTTCTCCTCAGTGAGCCTGGATTTGTGTTATATGAGAGGGTGTGTATGTGTGTGTGTCAGCATGTATGTGCATGTATTGTATGTTTTGCACATTGTAGAAGGTAGCCTCACCTCTGTCAGCGCCGGGCTGGAAGAATGCACATATGAATGAAAATTGCTGGGTTGCTTTTTGAGTAGCTGCACACATACAAATTATTGATAGAAAAAAACTTTTGATAATTACATACAACTCCCATCAGATTCCACACTAATCTGAATTCCCATGTGAAATAGGAAGCGTTCCCACTGCCTGTCTGTTTATGGAGGTAGAGGACCAGTGATGTTTTCTCTGTTGTACAAACAACATACTAAATAATGCAACATTGATCCATCTGGGACGCACGTGTTTGTATAAGTGGATTTATTTCTGCATGATTGTGTGTGAGTGTGTGTTGGTTAATGCGCATGTGTGTGAGCATGTGTGTGTGTGTTAGCGTGTGTGTGTCTGTGCATGTGTGTGTGCGTGTGTGTGTGTGTGTGTGTGTGGATGGAGCCTTTGTAACGAAACACCCGAGGTGTCAGAGGGACACAGTGGGGTGATGGAGGAAAGGATGGGGGCCCGGAGAGGAGGTGTTCCTGTATTGTTGTACTGCTGTTGAAACTGTCGCTCTGAGTTTGAGCCTTTCATACTCACGATTATTCTCGGGAATTTACAACAGACCGGGAGGAGGAGGAATTCAGAGCGCACTTTTCAACAAGGAAAAGCAAGAAGGAGCACAGTGGAAATGGGGGAGGCGGGATGGAAGAGATTGTACACTCTTTCCACATGTTCCACTTCCCTCTTTGCATGTGTATTCCTCATGCGTCCACGGAGCTCAACACCGTGGACTGCTGGGAGGTGAAGGGAGAGGAGGAAGAGGGAGGAGGAGGAGGAGGAGGAGATGAATGCATACGTGCACCCTGGCCTTTAGGCCTCTTGGGCTTTTGGACCCTGGCAAATCTGCATCGTCTGTGTTCTTTGATCCTGACTTCAGGGCAGCTCACAGAGTCCACTGTCATGTGAACATGTGCATCTCCATTCACTGCGTCTACCTCTAGCTAGTGGTGCATTATGGAGGCTGAAATCTTGTTTATTCTTGACCCAATCGCATAGTTCAGTTACGAACATGACATTTAAAGTGGAATGTAGATTCTCAGGTTGCACCAAAATCAAATTAGGATTGTTTGAGGATACTGTATGAAAAAGTTTAAGTTTCTGATAATATTCTGATGAGTATCTGATATAAATCCAGCTATCACAGTGGATCACAGTTTACTAATGCAGGAAAGAAGTTACAAATGTTTTCCTTAACATCCACCATATGTCCGTTTTTATCATTTCTCTTCCAGACGCACACGGGGGAGAAGGAGAAGATCTGCCCGTACTGTGGACAAAAGTTTGCCAGCAACGGCACGCTAAGGGTCCACATCCGCAGCCACACAGGTCAGTGGTCCTTCACAGGTCAATGCCTTGTTAAATGGACCTTACGTCACCTGCAGCTTCAGGGTAAAGATGTGGAGTGTCATACCAGCAGATGTCTATAAAGCTTTCACACTACAGTCTTTAGATCAGTACAAATGGGCTAGTTTGAGCTTTAGTCACATTTAAATTTAGTTTTTACTTTATGTATGATAGAGCTGCAATAATAAATTGAGATGAGTAAAAAATCTCTGATTCTAGCTTCATAAATAATTTAATAATTTTCTGTTTCATTCCGTCTCTGTGACAGAAAAGTGAAAATCTTTTGGGTTGTGATGTCCTGTAACCAATTTTTAATTTTAATTTTTTTAATTTTTATTTTTTTTACCATTTTCTGACATGTTATAAATCAAACTACCTCATCAATGAATTAGTTGCAGCCCCCCTTATTATTTGGTTTTAAATGTGCTTAGTGTTGATTTAAAGAGCTTGGTGCTGTTATTCAAGATTATTATGCCTGGCAGTCACACGTTATATTTGGCATGGTCAAAGAAAAAGTTGCACTTCTGAAATATGACGCAACAGCCAGCAGCTGGTTAGTGTGGCTTAGCATAAAGATCAGAACCACAGAGAAACAGCTAACCTGGCTCTATCTAAAAAGTGACAAAATCCATCTGCTAGCAAATGCAAAGCTTATTGACTGAACATGTTATATCTCTCTTCCAAGAAGGTGTTCAGCCCATAACTACCTGTAAAATCACCATGTTGTTGTTTTTTCACTTGATTTTTTGTACAAAATAAGCAAATGAAATGTTAATATGCTAAGCTAATCAACTGCTCACTGTAGCTTTATATTTAGTAAACAGACTTCAAACTGGTATCAGTCTTCCCAAATAAGTGTATAGACTAAATTTAGAACTGTTACTTCAGAAACAGATCTGGTCTTTGTCTGTTCCTGGCACAATATCGATGAACCCAAACACCCCAAATAACACCTAATCCAGAATCTTATCTGAATACACCTCTTCTTCCACTTTCACACCGTGCACCGTGCACAGATCCATCCACGAGAATCAACATTTTAATGTTAGAAAATTGCAACATGTTGTAGCGCTGCTTGTGCCAGCCTCGGTGCAGCCACAAAAATAGAGCCCTGGATGTTCATTAAACTGCCTTAAACTGGAAAGCCACACATTCCTGTGCGTTTCCTTACCAACAGACTGGTGCAGAGACCTGGCACGGCCACACACACACTTCTTGGCCTCAGTCTGTCTTTTTCTTTTTCTCTGTTTCTCTGCCCACTGCCGGCTATCTTCTTCTTTTCCTCACTTTAACTTCATCTTTCCTTTCTTGTCTTTGTTGTCCTGCAGCTTCCGACTCACCTGCTGTACGCGAGTGTAGTTTGCTATCTAATACCTTCAGTGCTTAAATCATCAATCAGCTTCGTTAACGCTCCGTCCTTTTTATACTTTCGGATCTCACAGCATGTCTCAAACTATAAATGATTTCAGCAGTATTTATGAAACCTTCTCTCCAGCTGTTGTGTAAGATTAGTGTGTCAAAACGTGTATATTTTTTCCATTGACAAGGCTACCACACTCTGTCAACAGCTCCCTTTGTATCCGTGTGTGCGCGGGCTGCGTATGTGTGTGTTTGCGTACATGTGTATGTGTGAAGGACAAACCAACAGAAAGAGGGAATGTATACCAGTGTGGTCCGCGGCCCAGTCTGATTGTATTTATATAGAATAAACAAAAGAGAGGAATGCTGGGGGAGGGGTGGGAGCCGAGGGGACACCTCAAAGAAAGAAAGGAGCAAAGAGAGAAAAGACCACTCCAAGAAAGCATCCAGCCGGATGACCCTTGACCCTGACTGGCTGTAAATCTGTCCCCTCATTCTATAGACTTGGGCTTTTTTTTGTTTTGTTTGTTGTGTTTTTTGTGTGAGGGGGGAAAAAATAAGCTCTGGTTGAACAGTGTGAGTCGTTCCCTGAGCGACAAGAATCATCTTCTTCTCAGACAGATCATGTAGGTATGCAGATCGGGTAATAAAATAGCCCGTATCATAAAATAGGCCTGTTAATGTAAGAAAAATCCTAAAGGATGTCTTGTTTTTCAGTGAGTGATCTCTTAAAGAAGGCCACCAGCTGAGGTAGAAGCCTTTAAATCTGCAGCTTCTCTGGATGGCCGACAGGAAAGCTTGATCTTGTTTGTCTTCCTGCTTCACAGGAACAAGTCAGCATTGATTATTTACCTGTTAAACACAGAGGACTTTGTAAGGATTCCTTGGAGATTTCCCTTCCCCTATCATTTTACCGTCAGAGCTTTCAGAGAGAAATGGGCAAGTAATGGGAGTAAAGTGTGAAATAGATTAAAGAAAAAATTTGAAAGAAAAATCAACCTGAGAGCACTGAGGAGTTGGGACGACGTGTTCTGTATATTTGGCTTGGATTTCGTTTCAATCTAATTTGGTTAGAACATCATGTTGAGCTCAGGCAAATTAGCCGTAGTGCCACAGAGGCAGGCGTCTTCTCAGAAAGCAGCCTTTATGAGATCACCGACAAGCCATAAAAATCGGAGCTGTCAAAAAGCTGGATGTCGTGGAACTCGGTAGTCATGATGGATGTTTCTATCATTTTCTAAATTATTCTTTTTGGCCCCAAGATGGAGCAAATATGTTCTTGTCCACATCACAGCTCAGTGAGAGCAGATTTTCCCACCATGTGTGCCATGATGTGGTGAACAACCGGAGTGGGGTCATGAAAATTATTTGTGCCAAGGGAAACGCTGACAGAACCCAGCAACTTGCTGTCATACTGACATCATAGGACATGTCATGTTGGCAGCAGCGATCAGTGTGAGCCCATGAGCCGCACTACAACAAAGTGGTGTGTGCATTTTAACCCTTAAAAAAATAAGCTTCCCATGCAGTCAGTACAGCGGGTCTACAATGTACTTGCACATGTTGAAAACTTGAAAAAGGACCATTTGCTCTAAATTTGAGCTCACTGTTCATAATCATTCTCATAGGCAATAAATAAAAGTGATAAATAAAACAATAAAACAAGCAGAAACATGATAAATAAACAGATATAAATAAACAACAACTTCAAACAGCAGTCTGTGATGGGATTCATCTACACACAATGTTTTACCAGTTATGATTGGGATGAAATCAATACGTAAGTCCTAACACAGCAGAAATCTGAATTGAATGCCCTCAAGTTAATATAGATGCTACAGCAGAACAAAGTTAAATACACAAAGAGACAGTCGAGAGAAGATCATTGTATCCAGATGTCACACAATGTACGTATCATCTTGCAGAAATTTGTGTCTAATAAATGATCCAATTGACGGGAAAATATTAAATGATTCATTCAAAAATGAGATCCAGCTTCCCGCGCTCATGATGATAATAAATTAAAGCTTTAATTGCAAAATAAGTTTTATAATCTATCACTAACTATTAAACTTTTCACCTTACTGCTGAATCACTGCTGCTTGGTGCCACAGTGACTTTCTCCATAAAGATCCTGCCATGTCTGAATCAAACTGTTTATATAAAAGTAGCTGCAGTCAACCAAAATAAAATCCTGCTCAAGTGAAGTCATTCCAAGTCTTCATCCAAATCCATTTATCGCAGGCTGGCCTTATTAGCCTAAATGAATTATAGATAAACATAAAAAGCTAGTATGTGCACTACATTAAATCATTCTAACCTGGATATTTAAAATGATAACAGGTTCGGAGCTGACCAGCAGCCCATATTCATGTGATTTTTGAAAACAGATGATATCAGCGTATGATCCCAGCACGAGAACTATTGAGGAAAACAACACAGACAAGCTGCTGTTTTTAGATTATCTGCCATGTTGGTTGTTGAGCTGTGAAACTGCTGTTTGCAAAGTTTACACTCAACGCTTGGGCCATCTGTTTGAACAAAATGCAGCAAAACCAAAGACTCCTTTGAGGGACTGTGAATTAGTTTGGAGTCGATTACGAGTAAATAAGTTAGAGCCAGCAGTCCCCAATCAGATGGGACCAGGTCAATGTTTTGAAAATGCAGAAGTGTTCACAGGTCGATCTTACTTATTCCACAACCACAGTGTGCTCTTCCTGCTGCCAAAAATAATGGGTTAATCCTGGAAGCCTGTAGATGCAGCACTCTTCTCAAATCAAATCAAGTCTGTTGTCATTTTGCTGTACATACACAGTAGTACAGGCAAGATGAGAGAGCATTTCTTCAGAATCATTTAATTAGTAAGTTCTGCGGAATGCACATCTGGGATAAGCGACACACTAAACCAGGGGTCTCCAATCCTGGTCCTCCAGAGCCACGATCCTGTATGTTTTAGATGTTTCCTTCTTCCAACACACCTGATTCAAATGATCAGGATCGTTATCAGGCTTCTGCAGAGCTTGATGATGAGCTGATCATTTGAATCAGGGGTGTTGGAAGAGAGAAACATCTAAAACATGCAGGACTGTGGCCCTCAAGGACCAGGATTGGAGACCCCTGCACTAGACATTCACTCTCGCTATCTCCTGAATTGGCCGCTGTGTCCATGCACAGCATCACGTTGAACATGGCGAACCTCTTCAGGTCCTGCTAGGTCTTCAGGGACACAAAGACACACACGATGGTATGATGATGGTGAAGCCACAGATGCTGCCCAGTGCGAGCTGTCTGTCCGTCCGCCTGGAATAATGTCGTCCACACAGAAGTCTTTCCACTCTATGCGGATTTCTCTCAGCAAACACAGTTCATCCAGCTTGTTGTCGAGGGGGCGGACATTGGAGAGTAGGAGTCCAGCTAGTCTGGAGGCCTTTAGCCTAACATGGATCCTGGCTCTCTTCCTCCTCCTTTGTTTACGTCTGCACCGTTTACGCTTCCTTCTCTCTCGGGTAACTGCTGGCGTAGTCTCCGATCGGACTCCGTGTTGGTGTAGTATGTCCAGATCACAACCGATCGCCACAATTCCAGCACCGTTCACTGTCCAGACGCCCAGCAAAGTCACCCAG